TTTTGAGACAGGGTTTCTCTGTGTAGCTTTGCGCCTTTCTTGGAACTCGCTTTGTAGACCATGCTGGCCTTGAACTCACAGAGATCCACCTGCTTCTGCCTCCCAAGTGCTGGGATTAAAGGCATGCGCCACCACCGCCCGGCTATATATTTCTTTCTTAAGGATTCATGTTTAGGGAGCTGGGGAGTGGGTTGGTGGTATGTGCCTGCTGCATAAGCATGAGGGCACAAAAGCCCAGCATGGTGCACATTTGTGCCCAGTACTGGTGGAGGGTGGAGCCATAAGGGTTCCTGGAGCTCATTAGGCATCTGGTCCAGCTGAATAGCTAAGCTCCAGGTTCAAGGAGACCCTGTGTCAAAACAGTGGAGAGAGATACAGGAAGATACTTGATGTCAATTTCTGTCCTCCAAATGCATATACAGATATGTGCATGTACACCCACATGCACACGTGTACACACTCACACAAGCTTGTGCATATGTGAATACAGCACATACACACATACACACACACAGGGAGAGAGAGGGAAGAGTGCATGAATGTTCATGTTTGGATACATGTGAGGGTTTTCTTTGCAAGAGTATACATGGTGTTTAGAACGGACCCCTGTTCTGGCAAATGCCGAGCTTGGTAGCGGTTACCCATTCTCTCGAAGAATGAGTTGTCCATGAAAGTACTCCAAAAGCGGTAGCATTATGTGGCTGACAGTCTGACTTGTTATGTTAGCTTTCTGTCACCATTACAGTGTGGATGAGGAAGTCAGCTGGTAGAATAAAAGATCTGTTTCGACTCTTGGAGTTCCTAGTCCACTGCCGTTTGTTTCCATGCCTTTGGGAGTGTGAGAAGCAACATCAACAGTGTGTGGCAGAGCATGCTGGGAAGTGAGAGGGGACGAGCACAGGCAGGGGTCCCACAATCCCGCCAGGGATGCACCACGTGACTAAGGACTCCTTTTGCAGTACTCTACCTTCTACAGGTTCCACCACCTCCTAAAGGGGCCATGCTGAAGACTGTTCAAGCCATTAGCAGAGGGACATCAGGGGACACTGAAGGTCTGAACTGTAGCAGTGGGATGATTCCTACTGTTCTTAGCCATGAGGGACTCTCCTTTTGTTTCATGGCTTTCCTTCTTCAAGTGCACGTTTGGGTAGTTAGAATTGTTGAACTTTATAAACAACCTGTTAACCTTTCTGGTTACTAGTTTTCCATCACATAAAATGTTAGCCTTGTGCCTGCCAGTAGGAGCTGAAATCTGGTGCTGTAAAATCGATCAGTCACTCCCCACAGCTCCTAATATGTGCCTGTGTATCGGGCTGAATGCTGGCTCCTAAACCCCACTCCTTTTGTCCTTTTTCCTTTTCTTGTGTCCCTCCCTCCCTCCCTCCCTCCCACCTTCCTTCCTTTCTTTTTGTGAGACGGACTGGCTAAGCATCCCAGACTCTTCTCTGTGTGCCTCCCAAGCAGTGAGATTACAGCTGGGCACCAACCATGTCTGGTTTCATTTGTTTGTTTTTTTTCAAGACAGGGTTTCTCTGTGTAGCTTTGGAGTCTGTCTGGAACTCGAACCGTAGACCAGGCTGGCCTTGAACTCACAGAGATCTGCCTGCCTCTGCCTCCCCAGTGCTGGGATTAAAGTACTACCACTGCCCAGCTGTTGATGTATCCAACAGTCTTATTAAATAAGAAACACAGAAACAATGTAAAAGAGAAAGCCGAGAGGTCAGAGCTCAGAGCTAAAATCTCACCCTTCCTCCTGCACGGTGTCCCAGCTTCCCGAAAGAGAGCTATATCCTGTCTGTACGTCTTTTTTATAGTATTATTGTTCTGCCTTCTCATTGGTTGTAAACCCAAACACGTGACTGCCTCGTCACTGTCTGAATGTACAGCCCCCTAGGTCTTAAAGGCATATGTCTCCAATGCTGGCTGTATCCCTGAACACACAGAGATCTATGGGATTAAAGGCGTGTGCCACCACCGCCACACTCTGTCAATGGCTCTAATAGCTCTGACCCCTGGGCAACTTTATTTATTAACATACAATCAAAATCACATTTCAGTACAATTAGAATACCACCACACCCAGCCTCCTGACTTTATTTTTATCTTTCCATAGAATATTCTCATTTCCATCTTCTACGTAGTGAATTGTACACATTCTTTAAGGCCTGTCTCACAATTGGCTTCTTTTTATCATGTCCTGTGTAGACAACCTAAAGTTTGTATAAAATGATGTTTAAATTCTATTTTCCTACTTCTCACTTTGATCTTTTCTTTTCTCAGCTATGACATCAGGATGTTGAGTATCTAATCACGTAAAACCCTTTGTTTTGTTTTGCTTTGTTTTCAGATGTAAGGATCTTTACTTTACGTGTCCATCAGTGATGGATAGTTCTAAAGAACATATAGACTCATTTTTGTGATACATTATGCTTTTATATTATCTATTAATTTTATGCATATTATTTTTGACTCTTTAGTGCATAGAATCCGATAGCTTAAATATTATCTGTAGAGTACAGTATTCAGTTAAGTTATTAATAAGTCAGCTTGTACATAATCATTTTAATGTATCATTTTGATTAAAATTTTAAAAATTGATTTATGTAAATAACTGAATTCAAAATTCACCTCATTAAGCACCATATCCTTTTTTAGACTAGTATTAATTCTGGAAAAGTAAACTAAATTGCCTGAATATGTTGTAATATCTTAGAGATTTGAGATGATAACATTTTAAGTATGTATTCTTTTTATTTGATAGTCATCAGATAGGTACTATTGATCAGACAGTGTTTGTGAAACGGGGCTTTAGACATTAAAACATATAAAGACTTTTATTCAAGTTGCTAACAGTCTGGTAGAGACTCATAAGACTTATACCGAATAGTCACTAAGTGATCTATAGGAGGTTTGTTAAGCATGTGACGATGTGTGTGAGTCTAATTCTCCCTGTGGACATTGACTGGAGAGCCGAGGCTTGGTGAGTAAGTAATTCACTAAGGAGACAAGTTAAAGGAAGTGATTTCAGGCAAAAGAAACCTCTTGGGTCTCCACGTGTGAAAGAGTATGGCAATTTTTGTGCAATGTCAGTAGATCTTGCATTGGATATTATCAGGGGTTGATAATGAAGAGATAAGAGATACTCACCTAACTAGCCTGCTCTGGCTGTGCAGAAGAGGATGCATTTTAGTCCTTTAAAATCTAGTTCCTTTCTGTGGACCCCCCTCAACTTCAGAGTGGGAAAGATAAGATTGAGCTCAGGATATGTTCCTGTCAGTTAGTGGAAGCTCCATATTGATCTGTTTAACCGTGGGAGCCTCTGTTATAAGAATCTTGGGAACAGCTGGAGCCATGAAGCTGGAAATCCTGCATAGTATGTTAGTTCTTAAAGCGCTGTGGCTGGTGGGTAGTAACACTAGAGTTCAAGTGTTAGAAGTGTTGCTTTGATAACAGGAACTGTGATAAGGAAAGAGGATAAGCCAAGCAAAGGCCAAAATGAAAGTCTATTAGAAAATTAAAAACTGCCATGTGGTGGTGGTGGTGGTGGTGCACACCTTTAGTCCCAGCACTCGGGAGGCAGAGATGGGCAGATCTCTATGAGTGAGTTCCAGGACCGCTGGGCTGCATAGAGAAACCCTGTCTCAAAAAAAACAAAACAAAACAAAACAACAACAACAAAAAAAAAAAAAAAGAAAAGAAAAGAAAAAAGAAAGAAAAAGTAAAGGCTTAGCCCAGGGGTGGCAATTTGGATTTTATTGTAGGGACAGTGGTGGGTTACTGCGTTTTAGATAGTGACCTTCCAAAGAGTGGTCATTTCAGAATGGGGGTGTGCTCCGAGGTCAGTGTGGAGGACAGACTAGGGAAGAGAAGGATGAGGGCAGTGGATGTGGGGCTGCAGGTCTCAGTAATGGGCTAGCAAGGTGAGCTGGAGAGGGCTAGGCTCAGGAGAGAAATCTTTGGTATATATTGGGAAGAGCCTTGTGTACTTATTTACGTTTCTGACTACTTTATCATCTTCATTACTGCTTGCATGCTTTCTTGAACATAACCCCCTAATATAACATAAATTATTCTCATTTTGTGTTATTAGATACTTTGTTTGAACATTACAGTAGTCAAGTTACCTAAATTTTAGCATGCATAGCTTTACTTAGATGTTGCTAAAAGGTACCTTATTGAGTTCTGTATTTTAAATATTATTTTATTTTTTTGATTCTTTGGGAATTGAATTGATGCATACAATATATTTTGATGTTATTCACCCCTAAACTCCTTGCAGATCCACCTCCCATCTTCTCACTTCCTCCTCCCAACTTTGTGTTCTCGTTTAAGAAAT